GCACAACAAGAGTATTAGCTAATATATAATAAAATAACATGAATAGCTTGATAAAAGCAGCCACCCAGTGATGACACTTATAAATTGAGGTTATACATAAGTTTTCTTATAGATACATCTATATAGTATATTTATTGATTGTTTTTTTTTTTATTTTTTATTTTTTAATATTATGATTTTAAGTCAGCATATCTCTGCACCAGTTGCGTTTTAATCGCCTAGGAGGATTTCCCGGAATAACAATTGATGAGAGTGTTTTCACTAAAGGATTTGAATGAGTTGCAAGCCTATTATGAAATCTTTTATAATAAATAGCTGCTTCTTCTTTGACAGTTTTAATTTTTAGATCTGTGTGAAGAGTATGATTAGAAACATAAGGAGGGGCGTTTGTTAATTTTCTTAATGTTATATTTTGAAAAGTCTGAATGCGATTTGTATTTGATTTTTTTGCATTTCCCTACAGTTGGATACCATAGGTCCAAATGGGTTTAATGAGGGATTTGTACATTAGTAGTTTTATATTAAGGTTGGTGTGTTTGTTATTGACTAGTAAAGATTTGAGCATACGGAGTCGGAGATTTAGTTGGATTCTTTTAGCACGTGTATGTTGGGCCCATGTTAGTCTACGGTCAAGGGTTAAGCCAAGATACTTAACTGTTGAAGTGGATGGAATTTGTGTACCATAGAGAGTGACTGGTGGGCAGTGTCCTAGCTTAAGGGTAAAAGTAGTGTGATTAGATTTGGTTTGATTTACCTTAATCCTCCAATTATTGTACCAGGTTTCCATAAGGGAAAGATGATTTTGTAGATTAAGCGATGCTACAATAGGGTTTTCATTTATAGATATGATAAGTTTATCATCTGCGTAATCAGCCACAATGGTGTTAGCGGAGGTTGGTTGATCAGAAGCATATAAGTTATATAGTAATGGAGAAAGGATACCCCCTTGTGGAACACCAGCTCTGATGTTTGCTATGTGAGAGTAAGCAGATTTAAAATGAACTTGAAAATAACGATCAGTTAGATATGATTTAAGTAGCGTGTAGTATGTTGGGGGCAAAAAGGTCTTTATCTTGTAAAGCAGCCCTTCGTGCCATACCCGGTCAAAGGCCTGTTGAATGTCAAGAAATACACAAGAGCAATACATTTTTTTTTCAAGTGCGAAAGAAACCGAGTCAACTAGCCTATGTACTTGATGGATAGTTGAATGGTGTGCGCGAAAACCGAATTGATAGTTAGGTAATATATTTGTTTCACTAATTATGGGAAGTATGCGATTCAGTATTAATCTTTCTAGCACTTTTCCAAAGAAAGGTAATAAACTAATTGGTCTATATGACGTTACCAGGTCGGGGGGCTTGTTTGGTTTTGGGAAAAGTATGATTTTGGAGAACTTCCATAAAAGTGGGAAGTATGACAATCTGAGTATGGCATTATATATATGAGTTAGTAATACAATTGCACGTTTAGGAAGGCATCTGGCTACTTCCGCCGTTATTAGGTCAAAACCCGGAGACTTCCTAAGAGTTTGTTTTTGAATTGCAAATTTAATATCGCTCGGTGAAAAATGTTTAATTGGGGAAGATAGAGGTAAAGGTATATCAAGACTACTAAGAATCGTATCAGAGTTGACAGGTAAAATATCTTGGTGAGGTTGAAAAACATTAAAGAGGTGATTTTTGAAGAGTTCAGCTTTCTCTGTGTCAGACACAGTGAGACTCCCATCAGATTTTTTAATAGGTGGAGTGGTTATTTTGAAATGTAGTGCTTGTTTGGACGCCTTCCAGAGGCTACCATTATTTGTAGATAATTTACTCAGGAAGTTTTCGTAGTTAAGATTTTTGATTTTTGCTAAGACTTTTTTCAGATGATTGCCTAAGTTATTGTATATTTGTTTGTGGGAGGGTAAACGAGTACGTTGATAGAGGGCTCTAGCTCTTCTCTTTTCTGAAATTAGGATACGGATATTAATCGGCAGCGAATTAGAGTTGGTTTTGTGTACATTTTTAACTGTGTTGGCCGCCCAGGCTGCTGATTGAATAACATTCGTTAGGTTATTTACAGCTACGTCTATGTCGTCATTGGATTTCAATCTGACATTTAGTTGAAGGTTCTGGTTTACCAGGTCGTGAAATTTGTATCGATCAGTAGTGGTGTGAAATAATTTTAGTGGTTCCGTATTAATTGAAGGATAGTCGTTAAGTGTGAGAATAACCGACGAGTGATCAGAATTTAAGTCTAGAATATTGTCAATAACATAGTGCACATTTGAAGGGGTTTTTGTTATAAAAATATCTAATATGTCTGGGTTTTTGTGTGGGGATGAAGGCCAATAGGTGGGTCCTGGAGGCGCAAGCACTTTGAATTTTCTTGTATTTACAAAATTAAAGAGAACGTTTCCGCGTGGGTTATTCGCTCGACAGCCCCAGCTCTGATGCTTCGCATTATAATCCCCACCTATGATGAAGTTATTGTTTATTGTGCTGAAGTAGTTTGAAAAGTTCTGATAGGAAACATTATGCTTTGGAGGTGAATAAATTGCTGCAACTGTGATTGGAACATTATTAACATAAATTTGAATAGCACAAGATTGAAAAATATCTTCGCAGACGCTTGGAAGAGATTGATATAAGATTGAATATTTAACAAAAATTGCGGCACCCCCATGGGCTGTATTATCGGGATGATTGGCTTTATGGAGCCTATAACCGGGTATATGTACGTGTGAGTATGAGGTACAGTGCGTTTCTGTAATTAAAGCAATATCAATGCGTCTATTATTTAGTACTGATTGTAGTTCCGATAAATGATTTTTTAGTCCATTAGCATTGAATAATAAAACAAGTAGAGATTTATTTGTGGCGGTATTAGTCATTTTTTTTATCCAGTAACGAGGAGATTACTTTAGTAAGTAGTGCTATAAGTGGATTTATCAAAGATTTAAATTCCTCTAGAAAAAGAGTCATTGCATTATTACTGTTAGGTTCAGAGGAAGGAGAAGGATGTGTTGTGCGTTGGCCAGAGGTAGCCTGTGCATATGTCCGAGAATTATTTGGGGGAGCGTCATTTTCTGGGTGGCTAGTTGGTACATTGTATTTCTTAAATCTAGAATTATCCGAGAGAAAAGCATTGTTTGGTGAAGGTTTCTTGCGCCGTTGAATTTCTTTATAAACAGAGCATCCTCTATAGCTGGCTGGATGGTTACCTTGGCAGAGCGCACATTTAGGTGGGGTGTCCTGAGAAATGGTGCAGTCGGATGTCTGGTGATAGTCGCCGCACCGCACGCAGCGTGATGAGTAGTTACAGTAAGATTTCGTGTGACCGTATTCTTGACAATTTAAGCACTGGTTAATTATCTTAGGTTTATAGGGCTCCTCTACTTTAATTTTAGTGTGGAGCATGGAGGTCAGTTTATATATGTCATTTGATTGAGGGGAAGGTTCAAGGTCAACGAAAAAGAGTGGTAATGGATGTTTGTGGACCTTATGAAGAACATTTGTAACGTTACGTACCTCAAATTCTCGGTGTTCCAATTCAGATTTGATTAGGCTGGTATTAGTTGATGGGTGTAAATTCCTGATCACTACGCGTGTGGGTTTGTCTTGTTGCAGTTGGTATGTATGATATTGTGCATTTTGATCCTTGAGAAAGTGTATAAGCGTTCTATATGCTTCCGGAGTACTAGTTTGAATTTTTAGACGATCCGTAGAGGATTTACAAATAAAGTTTTCAACGCCAAGAATCTCAATAAGACTTGTGCAAAGACCTGGAAAATCTTGGACTCCTTTTACAAAAATAGGTGGAGGGGATTTGATGTGCAATTCTGCGTTAGTTTGATCTAAATTGTTTGTGGTATTGGTAGCGTGTTGAATGTCATCATTATTGACTTGTTGGGTGAAAACTTCGAATCTATTTCTAGTCGCGAATAGTTTTTTTTTAATTGGTTGAGTTGGTGTTTTAGGTGAGTTTTGAGCTTCTGAAGTCGAGGAGGTTGAGAGATTTCTTTTATTAGTAGACTTGACGATCCATTCACCATTTGGTGAGGTGTCTGAGACATTCGATTGAGATGCTGAGTTGTGAGTAGTTTTGTTAATGATTGTAATTGGTGGCACCGTTTTTTTTGGATTATTGTTTTGGTTTTTGTTGTTACTCATTATTACGTGAGTATATAGATATGCGTATAAATATATATATATATATATATATATATTAATTAGCTTGTTGCGACTACGATAGCGAGAATTGAGAGTCGCGATAAGAAACTATAATAAAAACCAAGGCCGCCGCGGCGACGGCCGAGTTAAGTATACACTGTCAATGACCACTATAATAGAGAATATGGTACACACAAACACATGAGTTGCATTAAAAACATAAGAAATGTTAGGAATCAGAAAAATAAAATAACTGCTATGCAATTAACGCATTTGTGATATTTATTGACAGAGAGCAATAATTAAGACAATTAATAAACACACCGGGAGCGAGTACGTGCGCGCCGGATGACTGCTATCGCAGAACTGAATAATAATATAATATTAAAATTATAATATGTAGGTATATAATAAGTTAATTTTTACTACGGTATTTGTAGTCCTCTAGATGGTCGACGAATTGTAGATATTGCATTTCTCATCAAACAAATACAAGTAAGGCATAAAGGACAATTTGGATGCTCATTTATTGACATGGAATTTCAATCAGAAGTGATACATGGCTTTTATTCGATATTTGTTTTTAAATGTAAAGTATGTTGTATTGAATCTAAATTATACTCGAAAAATATTCAACTAAATCAGTACATGTTAGTTAATAAAGCTGTAGTAAACGCATGTCAGTCCATAGGTAAATATGTGTTATAAAGTTTAATAAAGAATACAATTTTATTATTTATTATAATTAAAATGATAATATGTACTTAAAATATGAAACTAGGGATTGGGCACACTCAACTCACGGAGTTTGCCGCATTTATTGATGTACCGTCTCATTATCATGTAGTGGGTATGTACAAATACAATCAAACGCAGCCAAAGCTGTAAACGAAGTAGCATGGGACGAAATTAAAAAAGCTGGAGAAGAAGAACGCAAACTTGCCATACAATATGGAGATATTGATATTGACGGTGTACCGATGATTACAGTGGTAGCTGATGGACAATGGTCGAAACGCAGCTATAAAACCAAATATGACGCGTTATCTGGAGTAGTAAATATTATAATTATTTATTTTCTTATTATTATTTAATGTTTATTATATTATTATTAATATTTTATTATTTTTATTATATAAATTGTTACCTATAACCTATATATGTTTGAAATTATGTTATCTGTAATCTGTAATCTTGCCCTTCGTGGGCGTAAACTATGATTTACACATAAACAGGTATATAATTACAAACACCAACTATTTTCATTTTTAAATTTTCATAATAACAATTCACAGGCTACAATAATTGGATATAGGACGAAAAAAGTAATGTTCATTGGGATTCGCAATAAGTATTGTGTGATATGTCAGAGATCTGAGTCAAAAAACGAAAACAGTATAAATCAACATGAATGTTTTTTAAATTGGACCAAAGCATCTACTAGTATGAAGGCTGATGGTATAGTAGAAGGTTTTTTGAAAAGTGTGGAAATGCATGGACTAAAATATAATCGGCTTATTGGTAAATGTATTTTCTAGGAGTTATAATTAATATAGTATATATTGTAAAAA